GGGGGTTCAAGATGGGGCTGTGGGTGTGCAGCTCACTCGGGAGAAAGCATGGGGGACCCCTGCTGCCGTCTGCACTTTGGGAGCACAGGGGTATCTGGGACAAAGCCCCTGCCCTCAAGGAGCCCACAGCATTCTAGACGCAGAGCCAGGGCTGAGGCTGGGCTGAGGCTCTGTCGGTGAGAGGTTGGAGAGGCCTGGAAGAGGTAACACTTCAGGTGAATCTTGAAGGATGGAAAAGATCTTAATGGGCAAAAGACAGACAGACATTCTCTTTCTTCCAGCTGAAAGATTCCCAGTGGATATTATTTGTATCAAATGCATGCAAGGGGGTGTGCAAGAAAGTATAGCCTGTGTGAAAATGGATGTATGTGCGAGGGCGAGTTTAACGGAGTTGCATAGATAAGAGTGTGTGTACAAAAATGTGTTCATGTGTGTGTGCAGGTATGTACGTGTGTGAGAGAGAGAGAGAGTGAGCGAGCACGCGAGCATATGTGCTCAGAGGCAAGCTTGGGCAGGTGTGGACAGGAGGAAAATGAAGGAGGTCATTCCTATTCTGGGACCTTCACTTCTCCTGCTTCCGTTTTATCGCTCTTCACATCTTCAGCCTCCAGGGAAGGAGAGGGCCCTTGGTCTGGTCCTTGAGTCTCTGAGTTCAGGGTCAGGAACTTCCCATTTTCTCTTCGCTTGGCTCCCTTGAGGCCATAACTTTCCTTTTAGACCAAACCATGGAATGTTCCAGGTATCAGTGTAATGGCTGTTTGTCTTTTTGCCACCCCTGTCTTTCTGCACATGGGTCCTGCTCCTCCAAATCTGGCCCACAGGCCGCTTCCTCCTGCTGAGAGACCATCCCTGCCTGGATGAACCTGTTGGTCCAGGTAGGAAGTAAGGTCCAGAATTGAGGGAGAACAGGCCTGGGGCCCTGGGTTGGGGCTTCCAGAGCCCAGGTGCTGTCTTTCTGGCTAGGACTTCCTCTCAGCTAGGGGAACACTAGAATGGGGGCAGTTGTCTGGCTTTGGAGAGACCAAGGCCTCTAATTCAGTCTTGTGCTAACTCCAGCGTGTCCACATCTGGCTGTCTGTTGCTTCCCTGCCAGGGCCTGCCACTGGCTACCACGGGTGCATACCTTGGATTGTGGGATTTATTCATGAATGATTCTAGGGGCAGCGGAGTGCTAGAGGAGCACTGGGCACCCAGCTTGAGGCTTTGGAACTGTCACTATTCCCTCCTTTGTAGGCCTTAGTTTTCCCTTCTGCAGGATGGGCACAAGTGTGCCCAGCTAACTGCTGATGACTGGGGTGCTTTTAATGCTTGAAAAGTGTGCTAGTTTCCCCAGCCAGGAAGTACCTCAGGCCAGCATCAGGAGGATACGTCCTCTCAAAACCTCTTTGTAACCTTCTCTTCTCTCTTGCCCCTGGGACAGGGGCTGCACCTGCTGTGGTAGGCTACCTCCCCAGTGTGATTCAGGGGCACCAGAAAGGCTTGTCTGCCTCCCCGCATCCCATGGAAGTGCCTAAAATCCCAAGTGGTCAGATTCTCGAGCTCCACAGACCTCTCTGAATTTGGGGTCTGCTCCTCACTAGCTGGGTGGTCTTGGGCAGACACTTCTCTCTGAGCCTCAGTCATCATCTGTGAAATGCAGGTAACAGCAGCCACCTTAGTGCTGGTGTGAGGAATAAATGAAGTAATGCATTGAAAACACTAAGTGCTTAATACATGGGAAGTATATTGGGGTCTTTATGAACAGAGCCTTTTCAGTCACCAAGGAGCCCCCAGTGAAAATGCTCAGGGACATGAAGGAATCACTTGAGATACTTCTGATCACTAGAACTGGGGAAGAAGAGGAATCGGAGAGCTGACGACGCGGTGGGGAGGCTGTGGCCAACTTCCCCTGGCTGGGCCAGCGCGGTAGGGCTGGCAGGCGCGCCAGGAGCTGTCCGTAGTGCTGAACATCAATTTTTTTTTTTTTTTCTGCTCTCACCCAGCCCAGCTTTCAGAAATCTGTGCAACCGCCTGGCAAAGAGTAAGGGAGCATAGTGTACAGGGTGAAGGTCAGCTCCCAAAGCCCAGCCCCCTGCAGGAGCACTTCCTGACCTCATCCTTCTAGGCCACCAGGAGCCCACCTTCTCAGACCTGGGCTGCTGCCTGGGTTGGTTTCTTTCATCGTGGCCTGAGACTTGTCGTCTAAGACGTGTCCTCTGACTGGACCACGAGCTTTCTGAGGTCAGGGCATCTCTCTACTGAGGTAAATAGGTTCTACCGTCCAGTTGTCCAGGGAAAGTCGTGGGCCCTGACTCCCACCGCTGGCTGTTCTGGAACCATTGTAAGCTCCCTTCCACGCACTACCTTGGCCCTTCCCTGGAAGAGTTCATCCACCTCCCTCACCTCTTCCCTGTGAATTTGTCGACTTGAATCACTTACTTACTTATTTAAAAATATAGGCGAGGCATAGGTCATATCATTTTACAAATATCAATTCATTTCATCATTATAACAATCCTGCTAGTTAGATAATGTTATCCCCACTGAGCAGGTGAGGAAGCGGAGGCTTAGGGAGAGTCTGACTTGCTGGTAAGTGACAGAACCAAGAATCAAATTCGGGCTGGTTGACCTGAGAGCCAGTGCTGCTTTCTTTCCACCATGGTATGCTGCCTTCTGAGTATCTCTTTGATGCTTCAGAAAAGTGTGTGGGAAGGAGTGCCCAGCATTCTGACCCCAGCCCAGAGCAGGCACCAGAAATATCTTAACATCTGGAAAGTCACAACTGAAACAATTAGTCAGAATTCAAGGAAATGGGTGTTTTTGCCTCATGTAATTTGGTTTTATGAAGACCACTAAATGCAAACATTCTTCTGTTAATTACTGTCTCAAATTTGGTCTGTAATTGAGGGAACTAGAGCTGAGGAGAGTGTAGAAACCCGCTGGAATGGCAGGCTTGCCCGAGTCAGCATTCCCAGTTGCCTTGCACCCGCTCTGTTAATTTTGGAAACTCTTCCAGTCTGGGTGTATTATTAGCTTTATGTACACAGGGCCACGGGGCCCTCAGTGGTCTCTCCATGTCACAATTTTTTGTTTTGTTTTTCCCAAGAGATTAAATGAAAAGGAACAATGGCCATGTGTACACAGGGGTGTTTGCACACTGTGTGTGTGAATGGGGATACCTATGTGTGGCAGCTAATGAGTGTCTGCAGCTGTCTTTCAATGGTGTGCATGAGGCAGGGTGCAGAGCGTACACAGCTCAAGAGCACCGTAGACGCTGAAACCATTCTTCCAGGGCCCACAAGTCATTAATGGGATGTGCTGTGCTCTGTGTAGTGGGTGTGAAGCCTGGGGTGGGCTCTCCCAGATGGCATAAGAGGGGTTGGTGGGGGAAGGGGTGGTGGGCTGTGGGACAGGAAAGGAGCTGAAATTCGCCTCTTGGTGCCAGCCTTAGAATGAAAAGCTTTAGTTAGCCCAGTGAGACTCTGACTTGAAATCCCGTCTTGAGGCCTGAAGCACTTGGCTTTCAAAGGGGCTGCCGGAAGCTGCCTTTCCAGGAACAGCCCTTCCCTGAGCTGCATGATACGGGACAGCTGTCTCGCCCACCTTCAGTGAAGTCTGTCCTGCCCTCTCTTTGACTCAGCACCACTTTGAGTCTGGCAAAGAAAGCAATTTGCTGTGAAGTAATTATTTTTTTTAAAACTTGGAACTCTTTTAGGCAGGGGCACTTCGATTGTGCTGTGGGACCCTCTGAAGACTCAAGGGAAGCTTGCCTTTTGGGTCCCACTCCCTTCCTCCTGGCTTCCTGCAGTAGAGAATTAAAGATGGCCGAAGTGTTGTTTCTCTTGGAAGAAGACATGCTTCTTTCTGCCCAAAATAATACCTTTACCTGCTGTTGTCTGTCTCAATAGCAGAGGGAAACAGCTCTGCAGTACAAGTTTTTGGTCTTGGGGCCAGCCTTGGGGTGGCTGGTTCTTGGGCAGGATCCCTGGTCATGCCTTCTAGACATAGGGTCTGTGCTTACCTGTGCTGTCTGCACACCCCAGAGGGGCCCCTGCTCAGCCAGGCAACAGACCTGTGAGCTTGCTTTTACCTCCTCGAATTGCTTAACCTCTCAGAGGCTTTTCCCTGAGGGCCACATCCTACCTCCCCCAGGAAACGCTTGCAGTTGCTTTGCAGAGGCTTTAGGAGAAATGATGGTGGAAGCCCTAGCTGGTCCCACTGCATTGCATCGAGCGGAACCTTGCTGGTGCCTGAAGTCCCCCCATTAACACTGCCTGCCTGTGAAGATATCACTGACCTTCCCCAACACTGTGTTAGAATGCAGACCTCTAGGTGGGGAGAGATGGTCAGATGTTTTCTGACTGTGGGGGATAGACTCAAGGGAGACCCCAGACAGCCAGTGTGGGAGAGGGCTAGACCATAATTATAGGACTGAGTGTGGAGGCTCCACCCCTCATTGCGCAATGAGGAAGCTGAGGCCCAGCGTCGGGGGGCACTTGCCTGATGTCACACAGCGTCAGTAACAGAGCTGGGGCTACATCTCATGCCTCCTGCCTCCCAGGCGCCCGCTGTGTATCTGGACCTCCCCTGTTCTCTGGTCACGGTCTGTGGCATGTCTGCCTGCCAGCCTGTTTCAGGCCACAGTTGCCCCTCAGGGAGGATGGAGCAGCCTGGCCTGATCCTGGGGTGGTGCAGGGCGAACTATTTCTGCCACTGAAACAGCCTCTCACTTCTCTCTGGATGTCGTTGTTTGGTTTGCTTTTCAGCCTGACTCTCACTGGGGCACAAGGGTTGGAGTGTGAGGCTTGTCATTGAGAGCTCGTGGAGGGGCAGGCAGAGTGCATGAGGAAGAGCCTCTTTCTGTGCCAGTCTCCACATCTTGCCGTGGTACCCGTGTGCCTAACTCCTTCCGGGCCTCAGCACCTCCCATGGATTCTCTTTCCCACCTTTGCAGTCTCTGAGCTTTCTCTTAGACTGTAACTCTCTCTCCTTCTGCGACTGACGCCTGTGTCTCTGGGCAGGTTTTACTGGGACCTGACCATGCTGCTGCTCATGGTGGGAAACCTGATCATCATTCCTGTGGGCATCACCTTCTTCAAGGATGAGAACACCACTCCCTGGATTGTCTTCAACGTGGTGTCGGACACGTTCTTCCTCATCGACTTGGTCCTCAACTTCCGCACAGGGATCGTGGTGGAGGACAACACAGAGATCATCCTGGACCCACAGAGGATTAAGATGAAGTACCTCAAAAGCTGGTTTGTGGTGGATTTCATCTCCTCCATCCCTGTGGACTACATCTTCCTCATCGTGGAGACACGCATCGACTCGGAGGTGTACAAGACGGCCCGCGCCCTGCGCATTGTCCGTTTCACCAAGATCCTCAGCCTCCTGCGCCTCTTGCGTCTCTCCCGCCTCATTCGATACATTCACCAGTGGGAAGAGGTGAGTGGTCAGACCCAAGCCTCTTGGGGGGGGGTGTCTCCCCCTCAGGGGGAGGGAGGGGCCAGCCAATAACCTCAGACAGTCGGATGTGGGGGGCTGTCGGATTGTTGCGGGCACCTCTGCTTCAAGAGGACAAATATTAGTAATCTCTTGATTTACTATTATATGCTAGACACTGCACAAGTCACCTTCAGACAATGTCCCATTAAAATCTCTAACAACCCAGAGGGTACCGTGTGGGTAGGTACAAGTGCTCATTTTTCACATGAGGAAACTGAGAGAGAAGCTCGGGGGTTCATATAATGTCACAGAACTGGTAATTCCAGAGCCTGCGTTGTTAACCACTACACTGTGCTGTGGGGGCAGGCAGGGGGTGTGAGTGGTGAAGAGGGCCATTTGGGGGGCAGTCGGGGAAAACTGAAGAGCGTCTCTTCTGCCTGTATCAGGCAGTGCCTCCTCAGCTCTGGCTGCTGTGGCCAGGCGGGAATGGGCCCAGGCTTGCTAGAGCTACAGATTTGTCATGAGAAGCAGGAGTCCGGATTTTTGTGTGAATTTTGTTGGCAACTATCTTAGGTGGGTTCTTCTAGTGCAGACCCTGAGATGAAGATTTGTTATGAAAGTGGTTTACTTTGGTGGGGGGACAGTGTTTCCAGGAAAATCTGGTAGGGAATTAGGGGAGAGGGGCAGGGAAGTAAGGACAGGAAAGACACAGGGAAGACAGGCAGACAAAGGCGACACCAAGCAAGGTCCCATGGGGAGCTCTGGGACAGCACGCACCACAGCCAGGAGTCGTCCCAACCAGGGCAAAGAGTTGCACTTTTTATGTCCCCTCACCTGCCAGCCTTTGGCCCAGGCACTTCCAGCTCTCAGTGTTCGCAGGCAAAGCAGCTTCCCACTGCCTGGAGCAGGCTGCTGGCAAAGAGCCACAGGTGTCGGCTGGAGGGAGTGCAGGCCTGGAGCTTTTCTGGAATTATGTGAGAGCAAACTGTCAAGGGGTCCTAGGGCCCCCGGGCAGAGCACTGGCTACAGAAACTAAATAAAAAATTGCAAAAAAGAGAAAAAAAGGGGTAGCCTCTACCATCCTGAACAAACCTAGCTCATCTGTGGGCTGAATGCAACCATCTGTGGGAGAAAGAGAGGACTACGGGCTGCGGTTTGGAAAAAAGCAGGTGACCTTGTGAGAGCTTCTGTCTGTGTTTCTGCCACCACCCAAGTGCCTCCTTTAAGGGGCAGCAGCAGGCAGGCCAGCCTGGAGGTACTGGGGCGGGGGGGTGTGTTCTGTGAGACCGTCCGTCTCGGGGTTCGGGGCGGGCTGTGGCCTAGGGAAGCTTCTGCAGAGGTGTGTCTCTTGCTGTGGCTCACGGCTAGTCTCCTGGTTTCTGGGACCTCGGCTTGATTGGCCGGAAGCTCCTACGCTCAGGACACGAAGCATCCACCCCACCCCCACCCCCAGCAGCAGCCTGGGCCCTGGGCAACAGCACGCATGGCTGATGGCTGGGGGCGCTGGCAGATTGGGGTCAGAGGTGTTGTGAACGCCTGTGCTGCAGGAGGGCCTGCCCTATCCTGGCAGAACCACTCTGTGACAGAAACTCTCTCTGGTTTGGAAACATTTGCATTATTCCTGCTGACAGAGGAAGAGCAATGACTTGTCCAAGGTCACGCAGCTTACCTCTGGCAGAGCCGGAGCAGATCCCAGTTAGCACTCTTGGCTCCCAGCAGCGTGGCAGTCCCTACCCCGCGTGCGGGAGTGCGTGTGGGCCTTGGAGTTAGAATGACACGTGTGAGACCTGAATTAAAATCCCGGCTCCACACTGCCTAGCTGTGTGACCGTGGGGCCACCCTGTCCCCTGAGCCTCCTTGTCTTACCTGCAAAGTGGGTGTAAGTCATGCCTTCCTCAGTGGACTGCTGTGAGGATTAAATGAGATGATGTTTGTCAGACTCAGTAGTGAAGCCTGGCGCAGAGAACTGTTTAATAAATGCCCCTCCCCAGTCGATTGTCTCAGTGACTGAGGACACTGAGGGTGGAGGGTCGGCTGCCCCGGTGGTAGGGTTTGACCTAGGCCGCCTGCCCTTCTCGCCTTCTTGGGGGCCTGGAAGGAGGCTGCCTGTTCCTGGTCCTGGTCCCTCTCTTGGGGAGGACTCCCTGCTGAGACGGGGGAGGCCGGCAGTGGGGCGGGTGGAGGAGTGGGCTGAGCTCTGGGCGTCAGTTTGGGTTTGAGGACCCTGGCGGATGTGGCGGTGCAGAGAGAACTTGGCATGTGGCTCTGAGCTCAGGGCTGGGAGGGGAATGCCTCTGGGCGGTGGGGGTGGCCAGGCTGATTGGAGTGGCTGCGGAGGAATGACAGAGGCATATTTCCCAGACGCCCTGGCAGACTTGTCTCTTGGTTTCTGTCCCAAGTGGAAATGCAGGATCACGTTGGCTCCCTCAGTCACCGAGAAACCCCCACCCTTCCGTGTGTCCTGGACTTACAGCTAGACTGCCGTTAAAAGCAGAGAGAAGCTTTTCTCTTCTCAGGCATAGGTTCATGTCTCCAGGCCCAGCCCCATGAGGGGTCATCCTTGCTCCCCACTCTTGGGTCCCGGGGCCATGGTATTTTGGGAGAGTTGGCCGAGTTGCCAGTGGCTGGGCAGGGTGGGCCCTGGGGCAGAAGCTAAGCGCTTCTTTTACTCTCCCAAACACCATACACCCTGGGAGCTGGCCAGGGCTCCTGTCCCCACTGCCCCTCTGGGCGCTCCAGAACTAGTGAGGCAGGCTCTGACCCCGGCCTTTCCCTGGGTGGACAGGGGCCCCAGGAGGCCTGAGGTCAGGGCTCTCAGGTAGACGTCACTACCGCATCTCGTGGGCAGTGAGGGAGACCCAGGAGGCCAAATGGATGACTTCCCACCCCCTCCACACACACCCTTATCTTGCCTACCAGCTGGGGAGGAAATTGCTTTGAGCCGGTGTCTGCCAGGCACACTGCCCAGGCAAGGGCTCCCACCGGACCCCTGGGATTGGATTGGGGTTTCCCAGCTGACCCCAGGAACCCTGTCTCCAGATCCTTCATAGCCACCCAACCCCAGGGCTTCTCCCAACCTCAGCTTGGCCTGGAGTTGGCAGCAGGGAGACCCGCTGAGGCCTGAGGTCTGCATCAGACCTAGGAGGGAGGTATTTCATAGAGAAAAGACCCTGCTCCATCTCCTCCTCCAACTCCAACTCATGCGACTCTTTCCTTCCTTGGGCCTCAGTTTCCCCGACTATCAGACGTGCTGTGATGTTGTCGGAGGCTGGGGCTCAGTCCTCACCCCAGCCTCCCTTGGTGAGGATCCTGTTGGTTGATCATCCTGAGGACGTGGTCGTTGGGGCTGGCGAGTCTGCCTCCCAAGACCCCGTGGCGAAGCTGCAGGGGCGCTAGACCCTTGACCCTCAGCCTTCCGCCATCTCCCCCTGAGTCAGAGGCTTCCTGAGTATTAGCAGCAGCTCCTGGGAGTCAGGGTGGGTGGAGGGTCTTGGCAGGCGTAGGCGACTGTCTCAGAGGATGCCAGCCTCTGCCTCCGTCCTGGGCGATCTAGGTCAGCATCCTCCCTCCCAAGCCTCTCCCAGCCAAGCCTCTTCCCTCCCTCTGAGGTGCGAGCTTGTTGCAGGCATGCAGGCTATTGTTAGAAGCGTGGTTGCCCCCCTTCGGATGTTCCCCTGCAGGGCCCAGCACCCCAGTGACCCATCCCAGAAGCCTGTTGGTTCCCTCGGCAGCATCTTGGTGGGAGGAGCCGGAGGGAGGGGGTCAGCCAGGGCGGCCGTGCGGCCCCTGATGAGTCTCCGCTCCCTGGGGGCCTCGATCTCTCCACCTCTTTCAGGCTGGGGGTTGGGGGTGACACAGAGGTGTGGTCCTCTCTGTGGGCTCCAGGAAGGGACCCCGTGTGACCCTCTGTTCAGCCACATCGAGTTTGTACCCAGGATAAACATGTACCAGCCATCCTCCTAGGCCTGAAACTGCTGTCCTCTATGTGGCTGCTTGTTCCTGAGACACAAGGAGAAGTTTGTTCTTCTTCCTTGAGGAGAAAATGAGTCCTGGGAGAGAACTCAACCAGGCCTCAGGAAGAGGCCTTGGTGGAAACTCCAGTTTCTCCACAGGACTGGAAAGTCAACTCTTTGTTTTGAGGGCTGGGAAAGAGCTGGAAGGCACATATGCTGAGTACCTACTGTGTGCCAGCTGTGGACATCCTCTCCTGATCCCCAGGACAGTCCTGGGAGCTGGCAGTTATTGACCCATAACACAGATGAGGAAACTGAGGCTCTGAGCAGAGAAGGCACTTGTCCAAGGTGGGAGACATGTCGCTCTGTCCTTGCCCCAGGGTCCAGAAGCTGCAGATAGGAGTTGCTGGCAGAGCTTCCCCCAAGTGCCACGCCAGGCACAGAGAGCAAGCTGTCCAGGCCACCCGCCTGCCAAGCCTTGCAGGGCCCTGGAAATGAAGACACTCAACCCCCACAGTCAGAACCAACATCATAAAAGGGGGTTTTAATGAGGTATAAAGAGCAAGACAAATATTTGCACAGTGCAGCTGATGTGCAGGTGGCCTGTGGCCCCAGCCCACAGTGGGGACACCTGAGTGTTTAGCAGCCTCTCCTAGCAACATGCAGCCTTGTTCTCAGCAATCATGCCTGGATGCCGTAGAGTGTAGGGCATGGGGCGAGTGTCCACCATCTGGGGTATCTTCCTAGCCTGAATGGATGTCCCCTCACCGACCCTTTGCAGTAATCTCTGACTTTACCATGCTGGTGCCCCTGGCTTTGCCGTGTCTGAGAGGCACCTGCAACAGAACCCCACCCTCCCACCCGCACTGGTCACTCCCAGCAGCTGCATCCTTCTTCAGCCTGGTACCAGGCACAGCATGACCACCACCACCATGCTCTCTGAGGATGCATGAGCCTGTGCCACCTGCAGGAAAAGGCACACCCTTCTCGTCCCCCAAAGGCAGGTTCCCTGTGGGCTGTGCCTGCCCAGAATGGGGCCTTTCTCAAAGGTCACCTGTATACTCATGGCACCATCAACCCCATCACTGTCTTCATCACCTCCACCTTCCTCACTTAAGCACTTCTTGGTTCCCGAGACCCCATCACGTGCTCTGCCATACCGGTTGCTGAGATCGTGACAAGGGCCAAATTAGACAAGGATCTGATCTTGGAAGAAAACTGGTTACAAAGAAAAGAAAAACGATGATGACACTAAAACACGTGGCATTAAAATATGCCAGCCTTTATCTGGCCCTTGAGACCAGAGTGACCCACAGAAAGGGGCAGTCATCCTGGGCTGTGGGGTCTGGGACGCTTTCAGAAAGGGGCCCAGGCCGGCCTTGGGTGTAGTCCCGGCTCAGGCTGTTAAAGTGCTGCGGGGCAGGGCCTTAAACAAGTGTTTACGCCCCATGGTGCTGGAGGCTGGCAGCCCGAGAGCAGGAGCTGGCGTGGCCGGGTTCTGGGGACAGCCGGCACCCTGGTTCGTAGATGGCCACCTGCTCCCTGTGTCCTCACGTGGCCACATATCAACTCTCTTGTGTCTCTTCTCATAAGGCACCAATCCTATTCATGGACGCCCCCCGCCTCTTGACCTAATCACCTCCCAAAGGCTCTGCCTCCTAATACCGTCACATTGAGGGTTAGGGCTTCAAGATACAGATTTGGGGGAGACAAACATTCAGTCCATAGCAGCAGGGAAATGAAGGAACTTCAGAATAATGACCCCACCCCTGTATGTGTTCAGGGCACTTTCTCGGCTAGGTGAATTTCTCCAGCGTCCCTGGCAGGAGGGGCAGGAGGGGAAGCTGAGGCGTGGTGGGCGGTGAAGGCAAGTGCTAGCCGCCTCTGAGACTAAGCGGCCTCATGTCACTTGCCCTCCCCATCCCCTCAGAGTGGGGGAGCTGGTGGCATCCTGGTCAACCAAGACTCTGAAAGGTCATAGAACTATTGTGTTCACCTAGGCAAATGCTGAAGAGGCAGAAGTGGGATCTTCCCTCAGAGCCACAGCTGGGGCGCTGGCACTCAGGAGCTGCTGTGGAACCAGGGGGGAGGCCCGGGGAGCCTCCCAGGCTCAGGGTCCAGGCCCTGGGGCACAGCAATGGAGTGACGGCCAGAGGCACAGGTGGCGTGCTTGGGCTCGCTCTGCATCCCAGACACAGACCCCAGTTCCAGACCGCCCTGCTGGCGCCAGTGCCCACATCTCCTTGTACTGAGGAGTGCCGACTTAGCCAGGAAGTGGCACTCCGACAGCCCCGGGCTGGTGCCTGGGCCCCCGTGGGCTAGGCTGCCGGGCGCTCAGCTCTAACTTCAGCAGTACACTGAGCACTGGGCTCAGAGCTGAGGTGCCTGGAGTCCCGCCTGGCTCTGGGTCCAGCTGGCTGTATGAATCTGGCCACATTGCTTGGCCACTTTGGGTTTGAGCTGTTTTATCTACAAAATGGAGCTACTGAAGACTCCCGTCTCTCCCTGGGCCACGGTAATAATCTGCGGGCAGCCTGGGGTTGCAGTCTGCCTCTTGCTGCTACCGTGACTGAGGGCAAGTCTCTGAGCCTTGGTGTAAATGGGTTAACAGTGTCTTCAGCAAAGGGCTGTTGTGAGTTTAAATGAGATAATGACTGTGGGACTGTGTGCCCTTACTCGGGTGTGGTGCTGTTTTCCCTCTGTCACTGGGGACATGGCGGGTGATGGGACAAGCTAGAGCTGCCATTGTCTGTGAAACTTCCCAAGGTCTGCTTCATCCTTTGAGCTGGTACATCCAGAGTCATGCTACCAAGAGGGCCGCAGGTGGCACCGCCCAGGGGGTGGTGGACAAATGGTGTTCATCTTCAGGTTTTCAAAACCAAGAGCCAGGCTAAGCCCACACTTCAGAAGGGGAAACTCAGGTCACTAGTATCAGAATATCCTGCCACCAGCTACAGGGCTGTTGCTAGAAGACCACTGGACAGGGGGTTGAGACATCTAGGGTCTGTTTCTTTGGGCCTCAGTTTTCCCATCTGAAATGGGCTTAAACTAGGTCTCAATGGCATTTGACAGGTCTGCAGTCGTGGCCCCCAAATCCCTCTCTAGGAAGGTCTTATGCTCGGGAATACAGCTAGGGGTGTGGGCAGCCCAAGAGCCTCCCAGGCCAGAGGCAAGGCCAGAACTTTCAGAGGCGTCTCTCCAGACTTCTTTCTATCTCTGTCCCCTCACCGTTCTGTCACCATGGTGACCCCTGCTGAAACCAGACCCAGAGGCAGCTCTGGGAGGAGGGAGTTGCGCCGGGATGCTGGGATGCGGCACCCTCGGCCCTGCCCAGCCACACTTCAGCCTCTCACTGGGGGCACAGGCGTGGAGAAGGCCTGGTGGCAGTGGGCTGGGGCTGAGGGTGCTGTACTTTATTAATGGTGCAGAAGAGCATTATTACTCGTTCATATTAACTAACCGTAAAGATTAATTATTAATAACTTACCAATTAATAATGGTTTGCAATTTACTGAATACTCCATACCTAGTACTAAGCACTTTATATGTATAATTCAATCCTTTTGACAACCCACTCAGGTATGAATTTTTATCGCCATTTTCCAGATGAGGAAACGCAGTCAGAGAGGTTCAGGGACTTTCTCAAGGTCACATAGCTAGAAACTGGGTAGGAGTTGGGCCTGGGATCAAGGTCTGTATGAACTTGGAGCCTGTGTGTCTGTGTTGCTCCCACAGTAAATCCTTGTCTGCCTTAGGCAGCGCCCACTGCCCCTGGGGTCCTGGGAGTCTAGGGACAGATTTAGGGAAACTCCATGTCCCTGATGTGACTATAGACCGTGATCCCTGAGAAGTCACGGCTGGCTGGCTCTTCTTCATACTGTCCTCACGGCCTAGGTGAGCTGAGCAAGCAGCTTCTCTGCCACTTTGGGGCTGTGTGTGGCTCTGTGTGTCTTCCTCCCCATGTTCTGCCGGGACCACACGGATCCCAGGAGGCGTCCCTCTGGGCCCTCCAGCCTGCAGTCTGCTCCTCCCAGGGCCTGGCCTGATGGCTCCCCACCCTCGACATGGCCTGGACCTGCACCGAGCTGGGTGGGCCGCCCATTGTGTGCTGCAGGCGCCCCCCACCCCACCCCCGCTGACCGGGCCCGTACCTGCGCCGCTGCCCACAGATCTTCCACATGACCTACGACCTGGCCAGCGCAGTGGTGCGCATCGTGAACCTCATCGGCATGATGCTCCTGCTGTGCCACTGGGACGGCTGCCTGCAGTTCCTGGTGCCCATGCTGCAGGACTTCCCCGACGACTGCTGGGTGTCCATCAACAACATGGTGGTGAGTGGGAGGAGGGGGGGAGGTGGATGAGGCACAGATGGGCAGAGCAGGTCCCCAACCTGGAGGTCCTGAGTCCCAGCACGTAGAACCCGCGGCGCCAGCCCGCGGCCCTGGGCACAGGGCTGTGCCTGGCGCAGGCCCACCACGGATCCTGGCTGCGTGCTGCTCCCTCTGCTGCCTTATGGCCTCTGCTGCGCTTGGTAGCCTCCACACGGGGCCCTGGGTTCACCCAGGGAGACGCAGACCAGGTCTATCAGCTGTGGCAAAGCCCAGCTGGTGGCTCCTGCCCTCCTACCTCTGCTCCTCGGAGGCAGACCCGCCCTTAAAAGCCAAGCTCTAGAGAAGAGAAATCAATGAGGGGGTGAGGGGCACTGCTGGCAGCACACATGGACCCCCAGACCACACACGGCTGCCCCTTTCTGCTCCGAGCTGGGCTGTCCCCCATCCCCACCCCTCCCCCTCTCCATCGCCATCCCCCAGCCCCACAGACACACACATCCTGGTCACAGGTGGGGTCCTGAGCCCGAACCCCTCTCTCCCTCCCTTTCCAACCCTGTGGGTGAGTGAGAGGAGTCCTGGGGCAGGTCCCCCAGACTCCCATGAACAGGGCGGGCTCCAGGTGGGATGGAGGAGACCCCAGGACCTGTGAGCCTTTCTCTGGGTCTGGGAGCCCCTGCCTCCTCACTTTCACTCTCAGTGAATTTAGTCTGGTCTCTGGGCAAATCCTCAGGGCCCCCGGGGAGGAAAAAGCAGCTTTGAAAAGAGGTGAGAGACCCTGAGGCATCTTTCAGCATCAAACAGGCCTTTACAAAACAGCCTTTTGATGAGCTAAGTGTAAATGAATCGGCCAAATGGATTGAATTTCCCCTTCCCCAGAGGCTCAGCAGTAAGGCCACTGGAAGCCCTGGCTGGAGGCTGCTGGGGGCCATCCCTGCCCTGCAGTGGAGAGCCCAGGCCCCCTTCACCCCTGAAGATCAGCCCCCCAAGACCTCCCACCCTAACTCAGCTCTGTCCAGGATGGTCTGAGTGACCTTGAACATGGCAGCTCCTGTTCCTTCCTCCAGGTGCTGGGAACAGTCTGGTAACCTCAGAAGTGCTTGGGGCTCTGGGCAGAGGTTCTGGGGGTCATGCATTGGGGTGGGTTTCCACGTCATGGCTAAGGCATCCGCCTTGTGAGCAGAGAGCACGGGGGAGGTGGCCAGTGCTGGGGTTCATCTGGTGGCCCCCTCGTTTGGGACAGTTTCCTCTGTATGAGGGTGACAGGCCCACACATGCACTAAATTCAGGAGCTGGCCTTTCTGAGCCCAGTGTTCCCACACTGAGCCTTCCTTGAGACTTTGGCTTTGGAGACAAAAATAGCCAGGAGCGTGGCTGGCCTCCCGCCCCCCTCCCGCCCCCGCCCCCGCCGCTCCAGCCCGCTGCCCGCGGGGTGGGGGAGGGGGCCTGGCCGCCCAGCCTGGACGGACGGACGGACGGACGCAGGTGGGGTTCACCCCGGAGGCGCCTTGACTTAGCTCCTGGTGCTCTAACTTTGCTCACCCAAAACAAGGACAGCATTTTTGGCTCAGGCTGCCAGAGCTTGTCCCCCCAGGGGAAGCATATCTGGTTTTATAATTGAGGTCAGTGGGGAAATGGGCTTCCGCTGGCAGCAGCTTGGTGGGGGCATGGAGCTGCTTCGGCAAGCGCAGGACAGCAGGGCGGCCCAGCCTGGAGCCCTGGCTGCGAGGCGGGCCCCTGGCAGCCTGGGGACTGCGACGTCAGAGCAGGGCTGGCGCCTGTCCCTTCGCCGGGGCTTCCAGTCTGACCCCCGTCCCCTCTTGCCAGAGAAAGACCAAAGTGGGGGGTTCGCTCGGTCACCATGGGTCCTCACTGCCCCTCACCCAAGGCTTTCAGTCACCAGCAAGGCTGGGGGCCCTGAGCTCGGCCACTGGCAAAGTCAGGCTGAGGGGTGGGAGGTGGCGGGGACTCTTCTAGGTGCCTTTGAAGCGGGCCTGCCCTGTCACGGACCCGCGCCCACCCCACCGCTCCCCCAATCTATCCCCCTGCGTGCCTGTCCGCAGAACAACTCGTGGGGAAAGCAGTACTCCTACGCCCTCTTCAAGGCCATGAGCCACATGCTGTGCATCGGGTACGGCCGGCAGGCGCCGGTGGGCATGTCGGATGTCTGGCTCACCATGCTCAGCATGATCGTGGGCGCCACCTGCTACGCCATGTTCATCGGCCACGCCACTGCCCTCATCCAGTCCCTGGACTCCTCCCGGCGCCAGTACCAGGAAAAGGTAGGGCGGAGCGCCGCGGTCCACCCTGGGCTCTCTCAGGAGAACCTGTCTCTCGGTCCTTCCCACAGGGAGCACAGGCTGCCAGCTTCTGGGGCCCCACGTGGCCACTCTCTGTGACTGGGGCTCCCCATGTGGGCGACAGAGGAGGGGGGACCCCTCCTAGATGAGAACTACTTCAACTCCCCACCTTAAACCTCTAAAAGTCTTTTTATCTGTACCCTCCTTTTCTCCTGCTGTAATTGGGGGCCTGTCTCTCCTGACTGAGGGCCCCTCTCCCTCCTGCCCCACCCTGTGCCCGCCATCGCCTCTAGCTGCCCCCGCACTGGGCCTTCCCATCAGCACTGACACTTGCTCCATCTCTCCCTTCTTAAAAACTGTGTCCCTCCACCATCATGGGGCTTCAAATGCTGTCTTTTCTGCTGTTTGTCTCCTTTTCATGGACAAATGCCTAAAACCAACCAACCAACCAACCAAAAAACCCACATTGTTTATGGCTGCTGAATCCACTTTCTTCTCTCAGCCCACTGAGTCTGAAATCACCTCTGCCCTCCATGTTGCCAAAGCCAGTGGGTCCTCTGGGGTCCTCGTCCTGCTCGACACCAGACAGTTATTAGTTCCTTCCTGGCTTCACACTTGGTTTCCGGGACCGCACACCCTCAGTTCTCCTCTTTGGCTGGCTCGTCTTCTCAGTCATCCCCTACTGGGCCCTGGTAGTGTGGGCCCAGCTCTCTGCTCCTCTCTCTCCCCTGTTTTCCCTACCCTGTGCTCTGTATCATCTCAGTGCAGTGGGGTCCAAATGGTATCATTAGCCTCCACCTCTTTCCCCAGCCCCAGATTATTTGATGCCTCCCTGGACCTCAACCTCATCATGTCCAAAATGAGAACAGTCTCTCGCCCTCTCCACTCCAAACCTACACCCTTGCCTGTCTCGTTAGTGGATGCAGCAGTGCAGGTGCCCAGCCCCGAAACCAGGAGCTGTCCTCGATGTCTGTCATCACTGCCCGCCCCCGCCAGCATCTCCCTCCCTGCATGCCCACTGGCCCCCAGCCCAGCTCACGGCAGCTGGAAGAATGTTGGGGAGCTTCACCTCCCAGTCCTCAGTTATCGGTTGTCACCTCTCTGCAGCACTGTGTCCCTGCTTTGGAGTACTAGTATATGGGAATAGATTCCCCTATTTCTGATTGTCCCTGGGGTACAGGGACCTCCTTTACACCCCAGTGCGGGGAAAAATCTCTTCTTGCCTGGTCATGCTTCCTGTCCCTGCTCCTGGGGAGCCCCACTCTCCACCCACAATCCAGGGGCGGCGGGAGCAGCACCCACCCGTCACCCCCAGGGTGGGCAGAAGCATTTCAAAACTGGTTGAGTCCTGGGCACTTAGGTTCACAGATCTCTTGTCGCCAAACCTCTTGTCCCCATATCTCTGTTTAAGGTCCCTGCTCTACCCAGTGCCTCCCCTGGGCTGGAGTTGCTCTTCAATAAAAGACTCAGTCTCAGCCGGGGCCACACTTGGATACGAGCCCCACACGATGGGGCAGGCACCCTGGCTGCAGCCTCCAATCCCTCTAGCCCGCTGCAGCCCATTCCCTGCCTGGGCCAGTCTGTTATGGCTATGGGCAACAGCTCCTTGCGGAGCTGGTGGGTGAGGCCTCCTTGGTCGGCACTGTCACACAGAGGAGACTGACATTTAGAGGAAACTAGATCGACCTCCTGGTCAGTTGGCCTCCTGTAACTGGGTGTTGGACAGTCCCTATTGTCACCGGGCGGTCTTAGTAAAGAACACTGTGAGGTGGACACTGATGGTGCCCCTCCTCCACCCCAAGCAGCTGGGAGTCAGGGACACACCCACACTGAGGACCTCAATCTCCTGGGGCCAAGGTTGGCCAAGAAGGCCCTCAGGGTCCGGGCAGCCTCTGGTCACCAGCAGCCGAGATGGGCTGGTACAGCTGGAACAGCGGGGCTGGCTGGCCAGGAGGTGACGCCCTGTCCTCTCCCGGGCCTCAGTACAAGCAGGTGGAGCAGTACATGTCCTTCCACAAGCTCCCGCCCGACACGCGGCAGCGCATCCACGACTACTACGAGCACCGCTACCAGGGCAAGATGTTCGACGAGGAGAGCATCCTGGGCGAGCTGAGCGAGCCGCTGCGGGAGGTGAGCCCTGCGTGCGGGCCGGGAGCGGGGCCAGGCCTTCCGGCCGGCTGGACAGCCCACCTCACCTCTTCCTCCCTTTCTCAATCCACTGTGTCCGGCGAACAGGAGATCATCAACTTTAACTGTCGAAAGCTGGTGGCCTCCATGCCGCTGTTTGCCAACGCGGACCCCAACTTTGTGACATCCATGCTGACCAAGCTGCGCTTCGAGGTCTTCCAGCCGGGGGACTACATCATCCGCGAGGGCACCATCGGCAAGAAGATGTACTTCATCCAGCACGGCGTGGTCAGCGTGCTCACCAAGGGCAACAAGGAGACCAAGCTGGCCGACGGCTCCTATTTTGGAGGTGAGGCGGCCAAGGGGCCCTGGGGGGACAGGGGAATGCCTTGGAGAGACACTAAGAATGACATCGCAGACCTTTCGTGGCCACTGCCTGGAGGTGGGTGTCTGTGAGTCCAGGACAGGGGTGTGGTCCCAGAGATGGAAAAGATGGGCTGGCATCCAGTGTGGCCACAGCTCGAGGGTGGGGGCTTTGTGAACCTGCTAAGCTTCCGCGCCAGAGAGCGGGGGGCGGGGCCAGGTCAGGGTGGGTCCGCGGCCCTTTGAAGCCTGCCGGGAGTCCCGCTGACCCCTGCTGTCCCGGCAGAGATCTGCCTGCTGACGCGGGGCCGGCGCACAGCCAGTGTGAGGGCTGACACGTACTGCCGCCTCTACTCGCTGAGCGTGGACAACTTCAACGAGGTGCTCGAGGAGTACCCCATGATGCGGCGGGCCTTCGAGACGGTGGCGCTGGACCGCCTGGACCGCATCGGTGAGGGCCGGGTGGGAGGGCGGCGGGAGGTGGGGTTCCCAGCCGGGCAGGTGCCCACCTGCCCCCCGCCTCCCACGCCGGCC